ATTCAGAATAAATAGAGTGTAACGAAAAAAGTTTCAAGTTGAGGTTACCAATGCAGACGAATGATCATGTTTGAAATTTAACAATTTTTCTAAATTTAATGTGAAGGGGGTTGCAATTCGACTGACAGCGTTGCAAATCTAATGTAACTTCTGCACCAAACCTGATTGGATAGCAACTATTGCATAATCGAACACGGACTCGATAGCCTTATCCGGAAGTGTGCCATGCAAAGCTAATTCATGTGGCAGCATCATCAGGCAGAGCTTGGGCTGAAAGACATCTTAACACCTTATTCATGAGCGATAATGTGGAGAACAGCGTACAATGCAACATGCATGTTTGCCGATTGTGTGCAATAAGATTTCGATTGGATCCTGCTCTTCGACACCATTATCTGATGAATCGAAATCGTTCAAATTTTCTGATGAGGGCAGAAGTTCATTGTACAGTGGTACAATCCACTGTGAAATGATGTCGCTGACGCTATGCTGCAAAAGAAAGCTTGATCATAGCGTAGAAAATGAAGCGGTCTCTGACTGACAGACTTATGTTCGACCTCGTCGGCAAAGTAGAGGTAGCGACCTCTGAAAGCCTTGCAGGAGAGTATGTGCAGACAGCTACGGAATACATCTAATGAGTCCAATCTAAATATGTCGAGAATACAAAGAATGAAAAAAAGGTCATGAACAGCTACAGCTCAGATAGTCATTCGTACGGCTGAGAAGTTCCAATCTTATCTCTCATCAGCAACAAGTTATTCCACATTTTTGTGCCTCAGATAATAGTAGGATAGCCCGAGAGCTCGCTGATAATTTTAAAAAATGAATACTTCATCCGTTACCAACGGATTGGTAAGCAAAGTTATTTTCTGGCATTGATCTTGAAAATCGTATCTTTTCATGAAGATTTCAATTAGCACAAATTTTGCTAAATTGGACAGCGTAGACTAAAACTACCATTTTGTTGAAAGTTTCAGATTTTCAGCGATTCAGCAAGAAAAGTCGGAAGAAATAAATCCTTCCGACGTCTGCGTTTCTTTCGTATTTTTATTATAGCATGAGATCGAAAACGGCTAAGGTGCCTATATAGTGGACTTAATTTTCTAACAAACCAAAGCCATGCCAGTGTGTGGAAAGAACTTTTGAGAACGGTGTAAACAAATCTTTGGCCATCTTGACAGATAATGAATCAGATTTTCACATATCAAGTCAAAATCCTGAAAAATCGCTCGCAATCGCACACTGATGTAAAAGATGAGAAGAGAAAATATATGACCCAAGGACCAGTTTTCATGAACACTTCCCCTGATGTATTTTGGTAGATCCTCATGCACCTTCGCTAGGAAGCAGAGAAGCAAGAAAAAGACCAACCTTGGGTCACTCAGAACAAGGCGACAGTAGTCGTAAGCAACATGCACAGTCTGATCGCAATCCAGCATTCTGGCAGGTACTAGGTTATGACCTATACACAGCGACAACACTGGAGCAACATATCGACGACTAGAGGAGGAAATGTCCCAAATTAGCAGTGCGTATGACAAAATGCCTAGATATACCGAAGTCAGAACGACGATAACCTGTATTAATAATATAAAACTTGCTGTTCTTTGTTGATTCGCTGATCTGTTTGAGATTCGATGATAAAGCGGAGCGCAGAGCTTTCCAAAACTGAGCACAGTGAAGTACTCGAATCTCCTAGAGTGAAACGCGCTGAACGGAGCATCGCAAAAAAAAACAAGCATCTACCGAAACTGTTCCTCTTGAACAAAGATCTTCAACACAAAGATCAAAGAGCTCTTTTGCGGCATCGGAAACATCATCCACATCATCAGTTACACTGTACTGCAAAAGCAGAAGTTCTGCAGCGGAGAAGGTGTCCAATTCGGCTATTAGACGGAACATTCCATCGAGCATTTTAGACTGACTAGAAATAAATCGCTTCAGAAAAAAACACCATGTACCAGTGCCGGGATATACCTGCGCGCCGTTTGATGAAGCATAGTGGAAACTGCAGAATACAGCGTGATTTGAAATTCGTGTTCACTAGATGGCATCAGCGAGCGGCGATATTCGAGAAGAACCCGAATATTGTGAAGCAGCAACAAGTGAGTTTTCCGTCTCACACATAGTTCAGCCTTGAAAGAAGTACGAACATGTAACTGCTCTAAGATTTGAGCTGATAATCAAAACTACTGAACAAAAATGACAAGTGATAGTTCAAGCAATAGACATAAAAATCATTGAAATCATTTTTGTAGCGCAGCATCGATCAGAGCGTTCGTGAAAACATCTAGCAACAACACATCTAGCATTGGCTAAAGGCAGTGTCCACCCAAAATTTCGCTATTCCTGTCTTTCACATTCTGAGTCCTTTCCGAGGCACTGATTACAGTGAAGTTCGAAATGTGCGAACCTCCAAAATACTCAATTTTTGAGAGTCCTATCCCGAAGGTCCAGACAGTTTTCACTACATGAGTAGAAGCCCCTCTCCTGGGTTCTATAATCAAGATCGGTACAAAGCGGGGGTTAGATTTAGCCTGGGCACTGCCTTCAAGGGAGCGTACATCTGTAGGAAAGATCCGATGCACAAAGCAAGCCTTTTTTTAACAAGGGAAGGATACTTGATGACCGTGTCCATAAATGAAACGTACACCAGTATATGCACCTTGAAGCGCTGATTCCAAATCTGCCTTCGGTATCTGCTGTGCGCTCTTCCGAAAGAAATTATAAACATTTCTTACCACCAAAATTTGCATTGTTTTGATAACAAAGATTCATCAATATCGTTGTAATGGCCACTAACGTAGTATGAAAAAACGTACAAAAAATAAAGTTTCGCGGTCAGTTTTTAAGAAAACTGTTTTCAATGTATCCGAGTCTAAAAAACCTAGATACTGACGATTGTGACTGCCTAGATCGCGTGGAACTGATAAGGAAAAAAGTCCATAACTTCGTCCAGAGAGTAGCACAGCAGATATTGAGCATAGATCTGGATTCATTGTTTCAAGGCGCATCTAATGATATACATATCACCACAGAAGGCTGCGGTCACCACGTATCCTTCCCTAGTAAGCTTTATACATACGAGCGAGCGAATAACGAAATCGCT